TAATAAGGGAGAGGAAAAAATATGAGAAACTGAAAAAATGGAAAAAAAGTGTTTGTAAATGGGAGGGGGGGAAGGGAGGGCAGGGACAAGGAGAAAAAATGAGAATGAAGACCTAGTGAATGTGAAATAGGAAGTAAAGGGCTAAAGGTGTAGGGAAAGTGGGAAGGGTGGGGGAAAGGTAATAAGGGAGAGGAAAAAATATGAGAAACTGAAAAAATGGAAAAAAAGTGTTTGTAAATGGGAGGGGGGGAAGGGAGGGCAGGGACAAGGAGAAAAAATGAGAATGAAGACCTAGTATGCAAAGGTACAGAATCCCAATGATGAATGTAACTGTATTGTATACCTAGATTGTACCAATAAACTCAATAAAAAGAAAAAAAAAGAGCACAAAAAATAAACTCATGATCAAAGTTAGTCTCTGGTTTTAATTCTAAGCCACACTTTCAATAATCATACTACAGTATTCCACTTTTGAGCGCCTCAGACAAATAATCCAACTCTTATACAATGTCTAGCACATAACAGGGCACTCGCAGGAGATGTAATAAAGGAACAGTGTATGAGATGCTTACATGCAGCCCAGCCATGTCAAGGAAAGGTTTTGCAGTACAGTAGCTACATTGATCTTGCACTTTGGGCTAGTCCGATACCAAGACCAACTGATGTTCATGAGAGAGAAGGGGGACAGACTTGGGTCTGGGGCTAAGGCCTAGTACAGGATATAGATTCTCAACTGCAAGACTCAATCCTAACTGGTAGGGAGAATCTCAGAAACCAGCCTCAATGTGAGGATCAATCTTGCCCTCAGGTCCTCATCTCTCAGCTCTGGATTTCAGTTTGAATTCCAACCTATCTATAACATCTCCTGGCACAGGGGGCTGGCCTTGTGATTTTCAGCCACTAGGTATGACTTTTCCACAATTATATTTCTCTCAGAAAAACTGAGGACGAGAAAAAATTATCTTGTTTGAAGGTCACTGAGCAAAGTGATAAAAACAACTCCTTTCAAAATCACTCTTGCTCAGCACAACAGAAGTCAGGTGGTTCTTTTTTAGATGAGCAAAGCAGTCTAAAATGTCATATTTCTTTTCACTAGTGTCACCTTACACAAGCATCTGTCATCTTCGAAATCTCTCTGCCCCTTCTGCTCCCCCACACTTAGTTACAAAGTTTTGTTGATTCTTTCTCTTCAATCATTGTGAGCCTGTGCTTTTTTCCAATCTCAGGCTATCTGGGTAAACCCTTGCTAGGGTATTTTCTGTCTAATTCACTGCAACTCTTCTTCCTCCGTGTCTTTCTGGGCCAAATACTAAATACCTGCTCCACACTGCCCCTGGGTTATCCTCCTGAAGCTAGAGCCTGACCGCTGCACACCTATGTTGGACATACTTCTTCTCCATCTGCAGCCATCAGCTCAGGAAAGCAAACCCGTCATCATTTGATCAGCGATCTTGCTCAGTCCACAGGGTTTCATGGGATGAACCCCCTGTGTACCCCATACCTTACTTTCTCAAAAAACAAAAAAACCACAAAGTCCTTAGCACAGTATTCAAGTTAACAAGACACCACCTTCAACTTTCCTTTTCCAGCCTCAAGCAGTTCTTTCAAAAATAAAATAATAAGCATCAAAGAGCCCATACCTTCGGCAATTAGCCACCACATGCTGATTTCTTCTCCTCCCGCCAACTGCTAATAGTATGCCCTGAGCCTGATTTATTCCTCCACTTTACCCTCTGAAGTGCTACCCACTCTTCTTAAGTGCGAACATATTTTATATTATACACCATAGTTTTCAGATGCATGCACATCTCAGCCCAGCAGGACTCTGCACAAAGGTATGAGCTCTTCGTAAAGCTCTTCGTAAAGGACCTGACAACCTGTCCCAGAGAGCAGATACCCCATGAACATTTGAAACTGGTCAGAAATAAAAGACTGAGAACTGATAACCTATTAGCCTTTGTGGGGGAGAGGGGCTGGGAACGGAGCCCAGGGCCTCAGGAATGTGCCAGGTGAGTGCTCTACCACTGAGCTATTTCCTGAGCTTGAAATGCATACAGACCTTTCTTCCCTTTTTTCCCCCAGTACTGGGAACTGAACCCAGGGCTTTGCACATGGTAGGCAAGCCCTATGGCTGGGCTACATCCCTGACCCGCTGGACTCTTAAATCTTCCTTACAGTGCCATTTCCTAAAAACCAGCCATATAATCACATGACCCAGCAACTACATGTTGAGCATTTATACTACAAGAACAGATGTACATGGTTACGGTCTGGATCTGAAATATCCCCCAGAAGGCTTGGTCCCAAATCCAGCAATTTCAGAAGTGGGGCTTTTGGGAAGTGATCAAATCAACAGAGGGATCCACTGAGAGATAATAGCTGCACGAATGATTAGGAGCCTCTGTGAAGGACCTCTGTGAAGGGAGTGGACCAAGGAGGCAGGACCCTGAGACTGTATCTGGTTTCTGGCTCCTTCTTCTCTGGCTCTTTTCCTCTCTCTTCGCTTCCTGGCTGTCATAAGGCAAGCAGCTCTGCTCTGCTGTGCCCTTCTACCGTGTTCTGCCTCAGTTCAGACCCCAGCAATGGAACCAGATCATAAACTAAAATTTTGTGCCAAATAAACCCTTTGTGCTTCAGTTCGACATTCCCAGGTACTCTGTCACAGCAGTGAAAAAGTGGCTAACAACTTTTCCCGTATGTTCACCCAGAAGCCTGTACAGAGGGTCCAGGAATGTAGTTCAGCAGCTCAACACCTGCCTGGCAAGCACAAGATCCCGAGTTCAATCCCCGGTACCATGGGGGGACGCTGTACAAAAATGTCTATAGCAGCTTTGCTCAGGATGGCTTCAAACTGTGAACAAGGCAGTTGTCCTTCAATAGGGGAATGGCTAAAGTAGCTTTGGGACATCCGCACATCTATCTGAAACAAATTATCGTTAAATGAAACGGACTGAATATTGAGAGAATCATGTGGACTTAAAAAGAAAGCCAATCCCAAAAGGCTCGTGTGATTCCATTTGTATCAAATCTTGAAATGACAAAATTGGAGAAATAATGAACAGATTAGGGGTTGCCAGGGTTAGGGATGGGGGGTAATATAGGGGGTAAGGCCAATGTTTGTAGCCATAAAACAGCATCATAAGGGAATCCTTAAGATAACTGAAACATTCTGCATCTTAATGCATCACTGTCAATACCCTGGTTTTTGATTTTGAAATGGTTTTCCAAGATGTTATCACTGGAGGAAACCGGGAAACTACAAAGGACCTCTCCCTATCATTTCTTACAATTGCATTTGATCTTCAATCATCTCAAAATATAAAGTTTAATTTTAAAAATGACAGTATACCCCAAATCTGAACTGAAAAATAGATACTCAGTACTAAATATCCCACAGTCACAGTTTTAAACAGATTCTTACTGTAACTAGTGATACCATAGGATTCTGCCCACAAAGGGTAAGCAGCTCTGTTGAAACAAAGGAAGAAAACAGTCATTTGGCCCGCATGAGAGAAGAGACTTTTTCACATACGAAAGCCATTTTCAGAAACTGGAATGGCAAAAATCCTTATAAATACTGACAAAAAAACCATCTTTGCCCAGAACCCTGAGTGACAGTCCAGCTTTACAAGAGCACGGCTGGGGCTTTGTGGAAATGAAGAGCAGCCACCGATCTGTGAAATCTGATCTGTTTGCCATTTAGATCCACGTGACTCACTGAGGCAGGCTGTGTTCATATCTAAAAATACAGGAAATCTGCAGCCTAAGCAAATTTGGCTCATGGACTCTGGGTTTTTGATTCAAATACTGCACATTTGGAGACAGTATTTTGTATCAGCCAATGGCAAGGTGGTTCTCCCGCTCAAGCGACTAGGTCTAGGCTGATATCCAGAAGTAGAAGAGAGGACCCAGGGCTGCATGCATCTGTCCTATTGGGGAGTTACGTGACATGTTCAGTAACAGCAACATGTCCTCTGAGGTCCTCTGCAGGAAAGAATGGTGCCCTGCTTTGGGCACTGGGTGTGTCCCACTAAGTATCTTCCCTAAAAGAGAACAGAGGGACTCGTGAGCTATTAAAGACAGAATAGGGTGTGGTGGTCATGAGTGATCAAGTGCCACTTGCACCCCAGGGGCTGAGGCTACGGAGAGGGTGTGGTGCCTGGCACTTGCTATTTTTTATCCTGTACAGTCTCGCTGACAATCTATCCCATAATGCCTGTGGTCATGACAACTGGCCAACAGGGCAGTGGAATTCCGGGCCTTAGCCCATGGACACCCTGATTCCTTCCCCAGACACTAGTCCTATTCAGGGACCCGGTGACTTTTCAGAGTGGGCTCCCCCAGAGGCCTGCCTGGCAGAGTCACTGCTGCACTCACCCATCAGAACACTCAGCAACTTTTGCACTCTGGAATTGACCCCTACAATTCGGTAGAGTCCTTGTTCGTTGATCCCTGAAAAGAGAAACGATAATGATTTAATTAGAGGCACGTCAGAACACAAGTTAGGCAGACGCGGCCACATGCTCTTTTATTTTTTCTTCTTTTCATTTTCTCAGCCCTTCTAAAAAGTGCTCTAATTAAAGTCCCCTGTCACTCGGCTCAGCTCTTAGCAAAGCAGTGGGATTTGGTACAGCTGTCTAGGATTTCACGGATGTGCTGTGCACTTCAGCCCCTGTGTTAGCTCAGCCATCAGAGGGGGAAGAAACTTTCCTCTTCTCTTGCCAAATGCAGCATCTGAAGCATTTTAAAAGATGCAAAATATATTCTTTTAAAGATGTCACACTTAACCAATTTTTAATTTTAAAAAGCCACAGATGACATGATAAAGATCCATATAACAGAAAGGACAAATATTTTTATAATCTATTGTATATTCAGAATGAATATACTAAAATGTAAGGACATGTATAATTTTGAGAAATGTTGGCTGAGACTGGAAAATTAGAACATCCATTCATCTGTAATGTAAATATTCTTTATTAAACAAGAAAACTACCTTCACTGAACCCAAGGAACTGTACAATTAGACCAGAAAGACTTTACTTTTAAACATTGGAACAAAGAAACAAAAACTAACAATCGTACTTCTTTTTGGTTTTTTTTTTTTTGTTTTGGTATCAGGGATTGAACTCAGGTCCTTGCGCTAAGGCAGCAACAATCGTACTTCTGATCATTTACATGCACAGATTAAAGCACCACTGTATCACTGACAAGCGGGCAATTTAGCTCAAGGATTTGAAGTGATTTTTCTCCTGTTAGTCCGAGTCCCTTCATATCTGGCACCACTTAAGTACTGGTCTCCTATTTTCTGTCCTATTCCCCTGTTGCCCATTCTTCTTCTCTTAAAACCTTCTAAGAGATTCCCAATACACATAGAACATAAGTAAACCTCCCTACGGAGGCCTAGGAGGCTCACCCCACTGAGCACGAGGCCACTCTAGCCCAGTGGTGGTGAACCTCTGAAACACATGCCCCTGCAGGCTGTTATCACCGAAAGCTCTAAACGGTTCACTACCACTGCTACAGCTATTTCCACTACCTGGCTCATTCTTCTCACACTTCTTTTCATCATGCAGACTTCAGCTCAACCACAACCTCTTTCATCTATCTTAATATCCCCACAGCCAACACTCCCAGGCATTTTCTTATTGTTTTCTTTTTTTGTCTACTGCCGTACCATCCTGAACATGCCCGATCTTGTCTGAAATTATACTTTTTTCTGAATTTCTGAAGAAATTTAATAAAGGTCTGATTCTGCAGTATCTTCAACAAGACCTACAGAGAAGAGGAAATGGTGAATAAAAGGAAGTGGTCTGGGATGATAGGACTTTACAGTAGAGAAGTGCCTATAAGGGCCGGGGAATTGGCTCAGTGGTTCTGCCGCTGACCTTGCAAGCGCAAGGTCCCAAGTTTGAGCTCTGGTTAAAAAAAAAGAAAGAAAGTAAAGGGCCTTTAAAACCACACATATCATCCATGATTCCCAAGCTGGGAGCCTCTAGCCAAAAGCTGTATACCCATTAGTCAGCAGCAGAGAATTTGTGTCAGGCTAAAGGCTTGAAAGGTCTGCAGTGACTCTACTTCTTTATCTTTACACTTTCCTAGGACTTCACACAATCCTAGCTCCCACTGCTGGACATGCACTGATGAATCCTAGAGAGTATGGGATGTCTGTGCATTGTAGGCATTACAGATATGTGTGTCCATGAATGCACCACAGCAGAAAAATAACGACTTCCTTGTACTAAAATGACATTTAACTTACACTGCCCTTTCTTCTTTGTGCTAGATGAAAACTGTTTTAGAAGTCCAAATGTATCCTTTTCATCCTTACTGTAGAGAAGGGGTGGGACAAGGAGGCAGAGGCCATGAAAGAAAACTTACATGTGACCCTCTTGCTACTGCTTTTTGCTATTGCACATATTTTCTAGTTTTCTATCAGAAAAGGTTGTCCTTCCAAGCTACTGGTTTGCATGTATCACAAATTCTGTCAGTGGCTTTACATGTTTTGATTTCCCTCTTGGTTTTGGTTGCCGAAGACTGAGAGACCAACAGGTGGTCCACCTTAGACAAATGTAAGAACTTCCCTGGGCACTGGGTGTTTTGGATTCAAGTTTCGCTCCATTCTCCTGCCCTCTTTGTTAAACCTGGACTCCTTTCTCATTCTCTTCCTTCAAAGTGCAAAACATTTTAAACTCCTACCGAAAAGCTACCTGAGCAATATAAGCTTCGAAATGTTTATATTAAGACATAGTCAAAACAAACAGACAAGTCAACGATAGTAAAAGCTAGCAGCGAGAACCACCTACAGCATAAGGACAAATGTACAAATGGATGCACTTTCTCCCTGCCACTCCCAGAATGGGCTGAGTGGGCAGCTTTTCATAAGCACATTTTCTCATTTAAAATATATGATTAAGAAAATGTTGGATGTAAAAAAATGTATTTCCATTACAATTTCAGTGATTCCTAGTTTTTTCCTGCTTAGATGAACCACTGCTGATTTAAGTTTTAAGACATTTGGCCAGTTTCCCACTTTGCACCCCAACCATGCCATTGTGTAAACAACTTATTGGGCCTAAATCCTTTCAAGATCAGTTCCTACCTACGCCTACTTTATGTTCTCTGGCTATTTTTTATGTATTTTTCCAAGCTGTCTTGACCTTATTGAAAAGAGATGCAACAGAAATAAGCAAACATTTTTAAAAATGCTTCCATACATGAAAATAGTCACTTTGAAAAGAAAATCTTTCCAAGATACAAGGGTGCAGGGGCTCAAAAGTTGTATTTCTTCCTCCGCCTCCATTCAATGTTTCATAGTCTTTATTTTTAAAAACTTTTGTATTTCTCAACTGGTACGCATTATGGACCATGCTTTAAGAGAAAGAATTTCTTTTAAACAAATAAAAAGGGCTGGTAGGTATGGAGACTGCAGAATACGTGTGATTTACATCTCTGACAAGCTTACAAATCAAATCCAGTAGAAAGTCGGTTAACAGCTTGGCACAGAGCACAAGAGACCAGTGCATTCTAAGCTCCACTGCCAGGACTGTCCTTTGTGGCAGTGTCCGGGGAGAGACTACAGGGGAACCAGCCTCCTGGTCTCAGGGTCTTGGGCCAGGGGGCCCAGGAAAGGTCAGTATGCAGCAGGGGCCTGGCTCCGCTGTGTGAATGGTTCCTGAGGGACTCATTCCCAGAGCAGGGGTCCTCAAACGAGGGTCACTGACTCCAAGACACGATTCACAGCAGAGGATTCAGAGGCCTATGAATTAAACAGGAAAATAACTGCATCTTCATTTTCACTATCCTGTGACTGACATTACACATTTCCTTCCATTGGCAGCAAATCACACTGGCATTAACAGTACCTGCCGCTTGGTCAGAAATCACAGATATTTTCAAAACATACTCCAGTTGTTACCAACAGCTTGAAATAGTACTTCCAGTATCAGATCCACCACTTCGTCTTTAGAAGGAACTTGGTAACAGAGACATTGATACATCACTACATCACATCCATGTTCTAAGTATTCTGCTAACTGAATTTCAGTTCTATAAGCCTGTGTATTTTTACATGTACGTATTTAAAATATTCTTTTGATCAGTCAAGGGAGTTAATGATACCAAATAGCTTGATAATCCCTGCTTCAGATATGGCCTATGGAAACGCACCAGTAATGGCACTAGGGGAGTTAATGAGTCACTCAGAGTTGGGAAACAGCAGGTAGTGAGAACAATGGCATCTGTTAGACCACGTTACCTCTGGTTTCCACAGCATGGATGCACTTCCTGATAATGCTGAAGCCAATGCTGTCCAACTGCGCAGCTGAAAGAGCAAGAGGGCAGTCAAGTTGTAGCCGTGCAAATCAATCTCGGGGTAGCGCTTGAACAATCCATAGCAAGACAATCACACGTTGTGGCCACACGTCCTGTCATTCTTCCCATGGTAATGATAAAAACAAAACTGTAAACAAATAATTATTACAACATAGCTAGCACTCACTGGGAGCTTACCATATGCCAGGTAGGTGCTGTGTGTTTTGTGTGCATTGCTTTATTTCTCATAATAACCTCAAGTTGTAGGAATCGGCAATACTATCTTCAGTTTATAGCTGAGGAAACTGCAGCACAGAGCACTAGGGCAGTAGGACTGACTGCTGTCTCCTTCCAAATGCAAAACTTAAGTAACCTACACATGCAGGGCATGTGTGTCATATAAATGGCCTCCTTTAATCACAGCAAGTCCTCCAGGATGGTACTATCATTAGCCCTGTATTACAGACCAGCACTGGTGAGCTTACGGCATGCGTGCTACCGCTGGCTGTTCGCATCAACTGAAAGCTCTAAAAAGTTCACCGTCACTGTACTATAGATGAAGAAACTGGGAGCGGGTAAAGTTAATATCCGGATCAAAGATGTCGAGTCGAAATGTGGAGACTTGCTCCAGAGCCCGTATCACCAAACTGCCTCACCGAACGCTTTCAGTTAAAAGATAATGCTGCTCAGGTGACTAGGCAAAAGTAAAAATGGAGAAACAAAAGAGGGGACGGGGTGGGGGAAGGGAGGAGGGAGAAACTCAGAGGAAAATCAAAGCCAAGAACAAAGAACAACCCAAAGAAGAAGAGAGGAAGAAGCAGGAAGGCGGCAAAGCCAGCCTTCTGCAAGGTGACTCAGCAGGGGTGACAGGCTGCTTCACCGGCTTCAAAGCCCACTGCTCTCACGCAGAAAGTAAGTGATCCACATCAGCAACCTTTGCACAGGGCAAAGCCAGTTTCTAAAGCAACGCAGAGGCTAGAACTCTACCCAAACTCAGCCCAGTCCGTAAATGTACGTGGTAGTCTTTCAGAATGGCTTCGTCTTTGATTTTACGGATAAGGCAAGGATGCTCGGCAGCTTACCGTTTACAGTGAAGGAAGAGGTACAGAGTAGGGAGGTAAGAATTCACAAGTGATTCATGATCATCCAGGGCAAGCAACGAACTCGTCACACATGAGAACTGAGCAGAACCTAACTTCACCTTGGGATTTATGCAAATGGACTCATTCTCTATTATGTATGGATAGGCTCAAATCTAATAAAGATTTAAAGAAAATTTTTAAATCGCTAAGAATATCCAAGATCAATGTAAAAGGCAAGGCTAACTTGCTCAAACTTTTGATTCCAAAGTGAAACAGCTCCTATACTTCTGTGCATACTTATTGTTTAGTGGTACTTACTATCATTCAGCTTCTAGGATAGTACATACCAAAAGAGAAGCAAGAAAACAACGTTCCTTTCCCTGGAAATTACCTGCTCTACAAGCCATTCTTCTTATTCCCTTAACACAGTAAGAACCCTAACTCAAACCTATTTTTACAATATGAACTGGTATTTACTCTGCAGTCATACAGTATCTCAAGTTTTCTGACAGGAAATTGCAAGCCAGACTCAGATAATTTTTTCAGATGAAACTCAACTAACGCCTGCAGTAAACATTTTTCAAAAGCAGTAACAAGATTTAACATACAAGCCAAATTCCTGTTGGGCTGTGTGGAGGAATTTTTTGTTTTAAATTAATAGTTTTATGGATATAATTCATATATTATGAAGTTCATCCATCTTAAGTGTCCAGTCATTTCTCCACATTTACAAAGCTATGCACTGATTATCATTAACTCCTGAACATTTTGTTCCCCACCCAAACAAACAAAAAATCATATACACTAGCAATAACCCTCCATTTTTCCTTCCTCTACTATTGGCAACCACAAATCTACTTTCCTTCTTTGTGGACTTGCTTATTCTGCATACTTCATATATATGAAATCATAAAATGTGTGATCTTTAATATGTACTTCTTTTACTTATGTCTTCAAGGTCTTTCCTTGACCCTGAATAGCAACAGTATTTTATTCCCCTTCATCAACAGATGAATGGATAAAGAAAATGTGGTATATATACACACAATGGAATGTTACTCTGAGATAAAGAATAAGCTTGAGGTGCTGGGCATGGTGACACACGCCTGTAATCCCAGCACTCAGGAGGCTGAGGAAGGTGGACTGCTGTGAGTTCAACCAGTCTGGGCTACATAGTGAGGTCCAGGTCAGTCTCAACTACATAGTAAGATCATGTCTCAAAAACAAAAATAATAATGTTGAGTCACTGGTAGGAAAATGTATGTACCATAGCATTAAGTGAAATAAATCAGACACACAAGCTTACATATCGTGTGGTTTCTCATATATAAGAAACCCAAAATGTAAGTAAAGAGTAAAGTAAAAGATAAAGGAAGTAGGAAGATAGATCTTTTGCAAATGGGAAGAGGAACAAGAGATGGAGGGAGGAGGAGGGAAAGGACGGGGAGAGGATGAAAAAGGAACTGAAATGTGTTGTGCATAGGCACCAACCCTCCGTGAAAAAGACTGAATATTCCATTGTGTGTGTACATGGATATATGCACATATATATGTGTATACACACACACACAAACACACACACACAATACATTTCATTTATCTATTAGCTAATAGACATTTGAGGTGTTATTTTATTTTGTATTGTTTTTACTAATATAACTATGAGTGACAGTATACAAGTCTTTGTAAGAACACACATTTTGATTTCTCTCATGTATATACCCAAAAATGGAATTACTGGGCCATAGGGTAACTCTACGAGGAATTAACTTTTTGAGGAACTGCTGAATTGTTTACCAAAGTAGCTGCACTGTTTTACCCTCTCACCAGCAATGTACAGGGTCCCAATTTCTCCATATCCTTGACAATATGTGTTATTGTTTTTCATATTATAGCCATCCTTATAGATGTCAAGAGGCATCTCATTGTGGTTTCATTTGCACATCTCCAATGACTAATGGTGTTGGGCATCTTTTTGTGCATAGGAGAGATTTTTGTATCCCTTTATCCACTAGTAAGAACAGAACTTGCTGAGAAGTATTTGTGATAAATAACTGCTTTTTATGTTTAAGGAGGTTTCCAAAAGGTTTATAACTATGATTTAGAAGTTGGCTGAAGCCTTTTAGTTCTTCTTTTGAGAGGTGCTTCAGAGAATCTTTTCAAAGAGACTCTTTTCAAAGAAGAGAGAAATATATATGATATTTTGTACAGGCTCTAGGAAGCTGCTAAGACTGATCTCAGACTTGGGGGTTTTAGAAGGAGTTTTATCAACGTCGTCTTGTTTTAGACACAGTGAATTTTGTCCCGGACAAAGACCACTTCCTTAACCCATGAACATCCATAAAAGTTTTAGAAAACTGGAAAGAACTTGGCAAAAAACAGATACAGAAATGGACCCAGTGGTCGGCAGACAAGCCACCAGCCCAACTAGGGGAAAAGCCAAACTAAAGACAGTGTTGGACAGTTTCACAGATACAATTCAGATCTTGGTCCTATTTTCAGTAATAGAAAATGAGGAAGTGGGATCTTTTTCTAGGTAAGTGATATATGGTGGAAAAGAACATATTGAATATTTTAATACATCCGGAAAAAATTAAAATTGCACCAATCCACATTTAACTATAATTACTTCTCATGGAAAATGGCAAAGCAAAACCTCTGCACTGGGTCACTAAATAAATGTAAATTTTACAGTTTCTCCAATTTCTTACAAGTTAGGAAACGCTTTATACAGATTTACACATAAAGCCTTATGCTTTTTACACATAACACAGTATTTATCAATAATTTTAGTTGTCTAAGTTCAAATGCATATAGTATTTACATATTGTAAAGCCAAACAAATGACTACAGGTTACTCTGTTGCCTCTACTGTATTACAGATGCATATTGTTGATTTTACAGTTCAGTAAGTAGGTAGAACTGTGTTAAGAAATAAAACCCACATGACACAAAAGTTCATGAAATACAATTCAGCAATCATCGTTCTAAATCTCTAAACTAGAACTGGTACAAGTTACTACATTATCCACTGCCCACTGCCCTGGCATTTCTCCATCTCTCTGTCTCTCTCTCTCTCTCACAGACACACACAAACACACAAACACACACGGACACACTTCATCAATTTGACTTTCCCGCTGACACTGTGATTAGGTTACTAATAATTAACAAGAACTCAACTATTTAACATGGATTTAATTCAGTACCATTACATGATAGGAACTGTACTGCACACTTAACCAGATCTTTGGTCCTGATCTCTGCCCACTGGATACATAATCTAAGTTAACTGAGATCTCCTACTCTGAAAAGTGAAGTCCCACTAACAGATTTCGAACACTGTCGCCACCAAGCCAGTCTGTAAATGACAGTGAAAGTGGCCCGCCAGATGGGAGAGGCTGGCCTTAATCCTCTCAAGCAGGTGACTCAGCTTTCACTGAGCCAAGACTCAGAAAAGGTCAGGGATATTTGCAATTTCTGTATCCTCCTAATCTTCAGAAATAATCTCTCATTAAATATCTATTAGCCCTCTATTATTCCCCTAATTTGACTTGCAATGAGTTGCAGAAGGATCTGATTCCCGGGACTGACCTCCCCCATCTTACAGTGAAGGCTTGGACTGGCTTCTCTTCTTCCCAAGGCTCAAGTTCAGCCCTGCCTAGGTTTGCACTCAGGCAGCTATTGTCTCAAAATGAATGTTGGCAGGGCACACACTGAAGACCCAGGCTGACCTTCCAAGTTACAAACGTGCCACCCTCTTAACTTTCATTTCAATGCTTGAAGCCTTGTTTCTGTCTTTCTTTTTAGAGGAAGGAAAGGCCAGGGTTGAAAAAAACCAATGTTGGCAAAGCTCTGTGGAGAATGTGAGACCACAGGAGAGATGGGTGCATGCTTGGTTAATTTGAGGAGTCTCACAGCAAACTGC